GTGTGTGAAAAAGGGGGGCAAATGGATCAGTTGTTTTTTTTTCGATTTTTTATTTGTTGTTTTGTATGTGGGTTGCTTTTTTTTGTTTGATAATTCCATTTAGATCTACTAATATTGGCAAATTAAGACTTTGCAACTACAAGAAATTACCTGGTCATAGTAGACCTGAGCGAAGCCATCATCCAGAGCTCCCGTATGATGCTGACGTAAGCAAATGTCATAATGACCAGAGGAATGACCAGCATGAGGAGCAGTAAGTACACCTCGTAGAGCCGGCTGTACATGGTCGACTCCCAGTCCTTGATGCACCAATACGCCTTCACACGTTCGCCGACCAGTTTGTGGATCTGTAGACACAGGGAAGTGATGGTTTTTAGTTTTAGTAAGGTTTTACAGCGCTCGCAACTGCTTAAGGTCATATGAGCGACAAGGGGTGGATGTCAACAGAGAAGTCCAAACGGGGAATCAGGCTTTATCTCCTCACCTCTCTAGCCTCAACAGCACAAAGTCTTCTTTGACTATCAAGGCACCCCGGAAAAAGCAGTTAACAAGAGAGTGACGAACATACAAAAGAAGTAGAGGGAAAATGACGATAGTAAGGAAAGAAAAAGCAGTTCCCCCTATGTTGTTCTGGCACAGTAGGAGCATGACGTTGATAAATCAGCACATTTATAATTCTACTGTGCATAAGAACATAATTTTAAAATCTCCTCCTCGGGAATGGCCTAAAGACAACTTTAGTTAGAAGCGCTTCCCTGGTTGGGGTTGAGGGGGAGGCGGTGAAGTGATGGTTTAAAGGGAGATGTACATGATACGAGGAATTTTCTAGGGATTTGATTTTCTTTTAATTTTCAAAGGTGATATAGACTAATTATAAACTAATTAGAAGCATTAAAATATAATGTTTTTAGCTTTATTAAAAAGTTGGTCTCCGTGGCGGCCATCTTAGATTTTTGCTATGTTGCGAAGGCAGGCATTTTCCACAGAAAAATATTGGAGTTTAAGCCTCAAATCATATCTGTAATTCTATGCGGGGATATTTCTTATCTAGAAAATCAATAAAAATGTCCATATATCATCCTACAACTTATTTAAGAAATATTTTAAAGCCGTATCAGTGTAATTTATATGATTAAAGAGGTGCTTCGACCATGCCTGCTAGGGCCAACCTGCATTGAGAGACACACAACACCCCAGCACACAGACATTGACACTCGACACAAACACTTTCCCATACAAGAATCGAACCCCAGCTTCCACATGCCATTGCAACAAAACGTCTACTGGACACCTGTAGTTCTGATTGGAGTTTACTTTTATATTTAAAAAGTAGGAAGCCGGCTTGTTGTAGAAGGAACTGAATGCTTTTTTTTTCGTCCTTTCTTATATAGATCTCTCTATAATATTATTATCGTATTGGGTGAATTATTTTAACAGTGAAGCAAATCTTTTCCCATTTATTTTGAGGCATTGTGGACGCAGCCAAAGTTTAAATTCATTGGGAACTGTCGAGAACAACGTGCAATAGATGAGTATTGTAACAGTATTTTATTGCTCATTCTAGAAAATAGACAGAACCGTTTTGTATTATATCAATATTCAATATGTAGCAGATTGATTGGAAATGTTTTCGGCCTCCATCCACCCAATTTGGATCCCTTTAAAGGCGAGGTTGCTCGAACTAAGTCAATCTAGCCCGAAATGATACAGAATCCCAGCAGACAGATAAAAATCATTATTATGAAGTGCCATATCTGAAAAAAGACATCGCGGTCATGATTCGCCGTTCATTTCTTTCCTCGGATGCCCTTAAACAAAAAGCTAAAATATAAATACCCCCC